TGAGAGCTGAAGAAATGGAAGCTTACATACATTCTGAAGTTTTCGGTACCATGGAAATTACTTCAATTTTCGACCATTCGATCATTTGGCAAGTAAGGTTTGAGACTCTCGACTGAAATTCGGTAGGAAGGATGAAGGGTAAGTGTATATTCTCCCTGGATCGCTATATCCTCGAATTCCTGCTTCTTTCGAAGACTCCTACTCGTTTTAACTTGGCAGGAGTGACAGACTAAAACAATCTCCATTGAGCTCCTCGATTGTACGCCATTTCCAACGCACAACATGCAGCCATATGGTTTCAACAGTCAAGTCTCCAGTTGGTATCCAAGTGTAGAAGGGGAATCTAACTTGGGAAATAGGGAAGGCTACATACCAATTAAAGGAGAGTATGAAGGTCCAGGATCCATTTGCAAAGGAGCAACCAAGAAAATGTGACCTTGCAATCAGATTCTATCCGGGACGAGGTACACCGACTTGGGACGGTTGCCTCCTTCGTATCAAAGTTCCACATCCCCATGAAAACTTTCACTCTTTTTAAGGATACCAACCATGAGAAATGCTATTGAGTAAAGAGGAGCACAAAGAAGCGAGCCCGACGGCTAAACCTTTCAGCTCCTTTCTTGTGCACCTTTTGCTTGCAGGTTAGATCAAGGGCTGTAAAGCCATGACCTATCTAAATTCTATCCTTGTTTGGAATTCCAAATCACGTATCTTAGCCCACTGTTTGTCCTTTCCCCCCATTAAACTACTTTTCATTGGAAATTAGTAGTTTCTAATCCCCCGACCCTACTCATTCAGTCCAGTGCAGCGAAGTAATTACTATGGAAATAATAATTAACACTTATAATTCACCGTGATTAGTCATCAGCATTGATGATGCATATAAACCAAATCAACATAACAAAACAAAACAAAAAATCTTCATATTTAAGCATGCGAGATGCATCCCTGGCTCAAAAAATATATACATGTCTAGAACAGGTTAGCTTGCTGCATCATAGAAAACAAACCTACATTTGATCAAATGTTTTAGATGCGTTATACCAAGGATTCTACATGATGTGCGTAGATTTTTCTATATGCGGGTATGTAAAAAAAAAAGAAAATTACTGCCTGATCAGCCTACAAGCATACTACAAGATGTGGCATAACTCTGTAATTCATTTATTCCTATTATTCAAAGCAAACTTCATAAATTCGCATTGAAATGACTTCCTAACTAAGTTCGAAGAAACACATACCTGAATACCGTCCTTCCCTTCGTCACGTGCACCATTGTTACTACCCTCAGCAGCACACACACTATTGCTGTTCCTTTCGGACTGTGCATCGTAACTAGCTATTTTACCATCAGCAATCTCTTCTCCAGGAATCAAAACTGATCCAGCATCATCCCATTCCTCCTCAATAAACGGTGCATAACGGTGTCCATTCGGGGGTCCTATATTACTTTTGTGGAATACTCTGCACAAAACATATGCATCCTTCTCCAAAGAAGAGGACGGCGGAGAAAGAGAGCTGAGTAAGAAGCTGAACTCCACATACAAATCCAAACACTATGTTTGCTGAAAAAAGTACATAAAAAAAGAATACTGAATCTTAAAATCGTCACTCGAACTCTAAACTTCACCTAAACATATTTCACAAGTATCAGAATCCGTACATTCCTTCGCTTTTATAAAGCACAGCACAGCCGCCAAAACAACACAAAATGGACTGCTCATGGAAAATTTTCATGATGGCCTCACCTGCGAGCTTCCCGTTCCTGCTCCTGCTTTCTCCAGTTCTTCATCTACAAGCCTATATTCATGCATGACCCAATTGGTCCGTTTGCCATCTGGTGCTCTACCACTATGGAACACTAATGTTTTCTTTAAGCCCACAATCCTTGAGTCATGGCGGACTGGCCGATCATTACCAGTGGCTTTCCAGTACCCTTGGCATGTAGCCCTGTTCATCCTAGCCCCATTTCCATATTTCTTGTCCAACAGACTAAAGAAGTAGTACTCTTGGTCCCTGCTCTTCAACCTTGACTTCCCTAAATGTAACATAAAAAATAAAAAAAAATCTAATTAAACGACCTGGTTCAGACACTCAATAAAGAAACCTGCAGCCGCCAATTGACCATGGAAGCTTTATAAAAATGAAACCAGAAAGCAAGAAGGCCATTTTAAAATAAATTTCCATCAGTAAAAAATCAATAAACGAGCGACCAACTAGCTACCCAAAATCAAGCCAGTAGACATATAAACCGAGCATAAATTTGAAGAATCAAAGAAGATGAGAAGAAAGAGTTCGTAAGCAGCAGCTGAGTTACCTGCGAGGTCCCAGGGCTCGCTCTTGTAGATATCGACCTCGGAAATAGCATTGAAACGGAAGGATTTTCCACAGACCTTCCGCTTAAGGTAGTAAATAACGAGCTCTTCATCGGTCGGGTGGAACCTGAACCCCGGAGCTAGTGCTGTTGGTGCAGCTGCCTCTGCAGCGACGGGCTTCGTCGGAGCTAGAGGCGTTGATAAAGTCAAGGCTTCCGAACCCATTAGCGAGAATCTCGACTGGTTCTGCGAATTGGAACTACGAGCTCTGGAAATGGAGATTAGGGTTTCCAAAGGTTGAAGATAAGACTTTGATTGGTGCTGAAGAAACTACATAAAGATACCTTCAATTACAAGGGATTCTTTACGGGGAAAGACGAAACCAACCCTGGTTTTGAATTTTTATTTATTTATGTAAATTTGAATCTCCGATAATTACTTAAATTAAGCTATTTCATAATTAATTAAGTTATTTAATGATTGTTTAAAGTTTCTTACATTTTTTAAATATTTTTATAAGAAATTAATTACAATTAAATGTTTTATTCTATCATATTACATAAAATATTAATTACCATTAAGGTGGGACTGATATTTAAATGTCGTTTAACATTTTTTAATACATTTAATTATTTTTTAGTTTACCTAGGGTAAGAATGGAAACGTTACTACAATATTTCAGATAATAATTAATATTTTTATAGTTGTGTTCGGTTTGACTTCAGTGCATTTAATAGTTGATAGATCTTAAACGGTTATCTTGAGTTTTAGATCGAACTAATCATTGACACAAATAGGATAACTTACGTGTTTTAAGTATAACCGTAAATCTTCGCCCCTCCCACCCCCAATTGCAAGACAGTATGGTTTTGACTAAAACATTTTTACGTCAATATTACCAAATATAAACTTTTAACAAATTATTATTGTTTTCAAAAATTTAATTTACTACTAAAGTTATTTCTAAATTGACGTTTTTATCCTTCTAAAACTCCCACGATAAATTATCAGTTCGTTACCAAAAAAAAAAAAAAAACATGTGAATATTGTAACTAGCTGTGTCGTTTTTTTTTTTTTTTTTTTCAAA